GTGCTGTCATGGCATTTCATCCAGCTGTGGAGCTAGAGGGGGATCCCTGCCCTGTTTCTTGCTGCCTGGTGCATGGCAGTCACGAATGTCCTGATCATGACCAGCAGTTCAACTGGGAAAAGGCTTTGTTCAGCCCAGGAGAGCCAACCGGCTAGCAGCTGGCACAGTTGCTTGGGATGTGGGCAAATCATCACACAGGATTTTATTCCCCCAAATCAAACAGTGATTCAGCTTCACTGGCCTCTTTCAGTCAGTGTTGTTGGAGCCTTTCTACTTCAAGTAAATGATTTAATAGCCATCGGGGTAAGAAGCAGGGCTGGCAGTGCAGCCCAGTGGTTACTGCAGTCAGCAGGCGTGTGTCTGTGAGAGGTGAGCTCAGGACTCCCCTCCAGCAGGTTTATGTGAAGCGACTGCTCCATCAGGATGGACGGAGAGAGCCCAGCCTCACGGCATCCTAGGAAAGAAGTGCCTGTTCTGGGGCTTGAGGGACCAGCAGCTCGGGGTTTGCAGGCTGGATATGCTGGATCACAGATGACTTCCCAAACAAGGCAGCTGTTGGCTACTCTGGGCAGACGGCGCGCCCTGTAGTCGCTTCCTTAAAAAGTCTGAAAGATCTTTTTTTTTTTTGTTTTCTTTGTCCCAGCACAGAATGGAAACTTGCTGAAATCTCAGAAAAGGTTCAGAGAATGGGAAACGATTTCCCACCCATTTCTAGCCAGCGATGCTGTTTTCCTCCCCAGAAAAATATGCGCAGAAGAGAGGAAAAAGTCCCAGAGCATCCCATAAGTGCTCTGTCTGGAATCTCGCTGCACTCTGGTTTCTAAAGAATTCAATTTACATATGCAAGTTGGGTCGTCTAAACAGTTACCTTGTGGATTGGGAGTAGAAGAATGCAGCCTTGTCTTTCAGCGAGGATTTGAGGGAAGCATTAGTATTCCTTGAACTGCAAAGTTGATCGGCCCCAGGGAGGGTAGAAAGAAGGGTCCCAGGACAGCGTCTGGTGCCAGAACAAATGTCCAGCATCTGCTGCAGTCTAAGTAAGACGTGTGTTGCCGCTGCAGAAGGGGAAAGGGGAATAAGGAACTGGTTATGCGAAGAGTGTTTGTAGTTTATTGCTGCTGCTTATTGATTAAGGGATCATCTGTGTTTTTATGCTGCCCTTGGATTTAATCTGATGACAGGAGGAGGGGGATATTTCTGTATGCTTTGGGTGGAGTTTTCTTGGTGAGCGGCCAGGAAGAGGGACCATTTTGATAATGCTGTATTTATCCTGGGGCTTGGCCAAGGGATGCAGGGTAAGTGGTGGCTCTGGCCGTGTTTCAGTGAGGAGGGGGGGTGAGCCATCTGCAGCCCACGTGCCTTACGGGCTTGGCCGTTTGGAAGCAGATTCCGCTGATGTCCCTCTGCAGTCAAGATCATGGCAACATGCTTGTCTGTAAAGAGATGC